CAAATAAAGAACCAAAGACCAATCTATTAAATACTGTAGGTTCCTTGTGCAAATAATCATGGGTGTTTACAAAGATGTCCACAGTTGTTTACTGCAATGTTTATAATAGGGTAAAAACCTGGGAACAACCTAAATGTCCAACCATCAAGAACTGAATAAATAAATGATACCTACAGCCTAGACTACTGCGAAGTCAGTAGAGACCACACTTTCGAAGAATGCGTTTTCTGAGGAAACGTACAACAGTGTGGAGCCATAAAACACAAATAGTCTGCACAGGGTGAAAAGAAATGTGTATATATGTATATTTACATGTAAATATAAAATAGTGGAAGGCCCAACATCAAACTGTTAACTGTGGTTGGCTTTGGTTGGCTTATTGTGCATGTTTGCTAGGTTTTTATGGTAGGGATGTAGAAAATAACCAATAGTCAGGAAAATAATCAATAGTGAAGCACCCTCTCATACACCGATGAAGCCTATGGGTTGTGGATCAGGCTCTGGGGATGGACTGTGGGGGCTACAGTGGGGGAGGGGGAAGAGGAAGACTGAGAGGATGGGAAAAGGTGAGAACAAACCCCTTCACCTCAGCACCTCCCCCGTCCCTCACCCCTCACAAAGGCAGACTGTTTCAAAAGAGAGAGTGGCAACGAGGGACTCATCCAGGGACAAGAGAATACACAGCTATAAACAAAAGTGGGCGTCATCCTGAGAAACCACAAATCTTAAGTAAAAATAAAGCTTTTATGAAGTTGGTCCTTATCTGTAAGTCACTTCCTTCCTTTATTTATTTATTTGTTTATTTGTTTATTTATTTATTTATGTATGTTTATAATGACCAGTCAACTTTGATACTATGTTAATATCAAAAGTGACCAAAAGTATATTCCTTTAGTTACATCGAAGGTTTAGGTGAGTTATCAACTGATGTATTGTTTCAAAATTTTTGTTTAAATTCACCTGCAATGGCCTAAGAAGGAGTAACATATTACATATTAGCATATAACATTTCTTGAGTATTTGCAATGTGTTAGGCACTGTGCCATGTTCTTTGCCTGGATTGGCGGGCTTAACAATTCTGTTAGAGATTATTATTCTTCACATCAAAGAGATTGAGGCTCAGAGACGGGATGACTTGACCAAGGTTACACAATCAGCGAGTGGCAGACTTGGAATTTAAATTCTGGGATTCTTGCTCTAGCAAGGGCTGTGTATTTACACTACTCTATAAAATAACTAATAAAATTTGAGACAAATGACACATTTAGGAAGGCAAGAAGGACTTGTAAGTGGAGAAACAGAGGCCAAAGGGACAAGATGAAAAATAAGAGATAGGATATGCAAAGAACAACAGCATTAGCGAAACCATGAAATGTGCTGGCATCCACTCAGAGAGCACCCAGGGCTGTAAGGGAGCAAGCTCCACTCCCAGGTTGCGTGAGCTGTGGACGGTGGAGCCGACGATTTCCAGGCCCCACCCCTGGGAATTTCTCAGTGTCCTGGCATTTCGCTCTGAGGAAGAGGAAATCCACCAGAAGGAAAACTATTGAGAACCTAAGATGATGTTTGATGGGAGTGTATCCAAAACTTGACGATATGATGGGAGAGGTCACGAAAAGAAGTTGGTTGGTCACCTTTATTTTATGACGAGTAAGTATGAATACTCCAAATTACTCTACTGAATTGCCTATTTATCCTGTTTTATATTACAGTGTCTATCATTAAAAGTGTTGCAATAGAGACGCTAGAGTTGCAACTGTAAAGGTCCATTCATCCTGCTGGAGGGGATGGCTTAGTGGACAAAATGGCAGCTTTCACCACCTATGACACCCTGTACCCACAGGTTAATATTCAAGTGGCATTGACTCAGCAGCTCATCTTCTGAAGGAAGCTAGTTCCACAGTTCACTCATATTGGTGGAGGGTCTTTCAGACAGTGTCTGGAAAAAAAACCTACCTATTCTGCTTGAATAATGAAGATTCCTAGAACTTTTACAGACTTAGGATTTCCCCCAGTGTCCTGGAAACATGAGACAGAAGTCAATCAAAGGGTCTTCTAATACACTCTTAGCATTGGTGCCCTATTCTGGCTAGCTTTCTCTTCTTTCTTTTTTTTTTTCTTTAAATATTTTATTTATGTATTTGTCAGGGAGAGAAAGAGAAAGAGAGAGAGCACAAGCAGGGGGAGAAGCAGGCTCCCCGCTGAGCAAGGAGCCCGACGTGGGGCTTGATCCCAGGACCCCGGGACCATGACCTGAGCTGAAGGCAGACACCCAACTGACTGAGCCCCCAGGCGTCCCTAGCTTTCCCTTCTTTATCACTAGCCTCACACAAAGCCAATGCAGTCTTCCCTGAAACTACTTTCAATTCAACTGTTTAATATTCTTACTGTATTTTAGACGTCTATAACAGTCTCTTTCATCACCCTGCTCAGAATTTCTTAACCTTATTATTTCAAATCATAGCAGTTAAATCATCTACTTAATGATACAAACTACTCTAGTATGAACAAACCTTTCACCTTTATGACTTTTTCAACTTACTTTACAGTGACAAGCTAGGAATGTTTAGTAGTTATAAAAATAATGCTACCATTATGTCAACCAATAACTAGAATGGTTCCATCTTAATAAACTTATATGCTTAAAAATTCATCAGCTAAATTTGTATCAATGTGAAGTCCTTGCCCCAGTTGTAATTTCAAAATGAATACAACACACATTAATTGAATACTATGTTGTCAGATATTGTTTGAAGCACTTATATACCATGTTAAAAAATGTATATATATCAGTCCCGTTCCTGCTATAGGCTAGTGAAGGTGATGGACAGCCATAAACAGATGTTAAGGGCCATAACCACGGTCCAGTAAAGCGCCCCAGAAACAGCTTCATTCTCTGTGAACTCAGAGAGTAGTTTTGAGGAGAAACTTGAATTTCTTATTTCTAAATGCGTAGTTTGACAGGATCTTACTTTCAGATTTGAGCTTCTAAATTAATCTAAATCTTGAATGTGCAGCAATACATAGTTAAACTTACAAGGATGGGACCATGGGAATTTGAGAAACTGGAGGGGTGAGATGAATATTAACATAAGCTAATTTTATTCATGCCTCAGGATCTTTACACAATGATTTCCTTTTTTACTTTTTTCTTCTGCAAGCCCATTCTGAGATTTCATCACTACATTCTTCATTGTCATCCCTCAGACATTATCAAAAGACATTATCGATCTTTCGGATACATCATGCACCACTCCTCCTTCTACTCTTCCTGACTCCTCGATGGGACTGCTTCCATATATGCTGACATTCTAGTTATGCCAACGAGCCAGCCCTCCCTGTTCCAGCTACCTCTGCCATTAGATCACTATCTCCTTCTTTAATACCCACTGCTAATTGTATTTGTTTATTTCCCACACAGAATGCATGATGTGGTTCATTTTAGTAAGATTTCAGTCCTATTGTCTGGTGACACGGAATTTCTTTTTTATGTTAATTTGTCCATTTAATTTCACTGTAACTTACCGATATCGACATATTTTATCCTTAAATTCTCCAGGTGATTAGTAAAGACGTGGAAATGGGCAATCTTTAGTTATTTCTTATAAATTCTCAATTCTCTCCCCCCAAATTTCCCATTATCCAAATATTTATTTATTTCTTCAGGACGACTGCAGGGTTATCTACAGGGCTGTCTTCCAGCATTCAGCATACCTTTGTGTCTAGTTACAGGCATTAGGGCTGGAATACAAGGCCTGTTCATACTACTGTCATTCAAAATGTCCTCCTTCCAGGACGGGGATGGAGTGTGGCTGTCTACCATAGCTGTCACCTGCCTGGTGCCCTCTGGTGGTCACAGGATGACCTGCCTGGGATGGCTGCTATGGCCCGAGTACCTCCTGGCTCCTATTTTGGTCTGAAAAAGTTTATTGTTTCTCTAAATGTCTGTCTCGTTCTGTCAATCCCATTCAAAAATTTGCATTTAATATCACCTGAATATATTTCTCAGAAAAACCGGAAATGTGGTTAGCCGTACCAGCTTACTGGGGACCTCCAGAAAAGGGAGCATTTGTATTTTTACTCTATCAGGAGGCAAATTATTCTACCTGGAATCTTCATATATATATATCCTCAGTTCCAGAGAAGGGCCTATATCAGAATAAGAAAGTAAACTAAATTTGGTTGAAACTAATTTAAACTATCATTATTCTCGTCATCAAACTCAATTTCTTCTGAAACTTCGACTCTTCCTTTTACCGTGTGTAACCACCCAGCGATTCAAATGTAAAGTCTAGAAATTACCAATAATATGTAATTGAAAAACAAAATGAGAAAGGCTCTCATTCAAGCCTTGAATAAAGCAAGAAAAGTCACAATTGTCTGCAATGTAGAAATACTATGTGGCAAGAGGAGAGGTAGAAGTAAAGGGTAGAATTATTTTGTATGTTCGAATATAAAACAAATTAGGACAAATCCTAGATCCCATAAATGAAAACCCAGTATCTCTTCTCTGTTCTCCTCTCGCCGCTCTGGAGTCCACACTCCTTGACCTAGTTTAAGCACTCTTTTAAAACCATAAGCCAGGCCACGTCAATCTCCGGCTCTCAGCTGTCCTTGGCCTCTATCAATGCCCTTCCCAAGCTCCTCCACGAGCTAGCCCTGGCTATCTCTTCAAGAGCATTTCCTACCCATCTCCCCATAACTCATTCATATTTCGAATCAACCGTGTCTGTGAAGGAGGTGGCAATGTACATGTTCATTCCTGTGCTTCATCTGTCATTCCAAAGGCTGTTTGGGTTTTCCATAATGAAGTGACAAATGTTGATGTAGGCACAACGAGCCAATATAATAATTGCCAAGAGACAGGATCCAGCTGATGGAAGTGAGTCGTAGGTATACCTGACTCTCCCAAGCAGTTGTCTTTACAGACATGTCAGCAATTGGGGCAGGAATTACTCTGCTGATGATACTCCACCAAATAACAGCCACTAAAGACTTACCAGCAGCTACTATGATAACATCTGCCAGCTGAGTATGGATCTTCAGTTGTTCCTTGGGAGTATATCTGTGAGCTATGGTCACCGTTGCATCACCTGGAATGGAGAAGAACTTCCATTAATGGTTACTGAGCTTTTCCAAAATTTATGAATGCTCCAATTCTAGAGGAGATTCAGTGACATCGTAAGAGGAGCAAAATTGCTTTGAAATGAAGAACAAAAGCAAGATAAGAAAACCTAGATGAGGGTTTTAGAGGAGCAAGATGGCAGAGGAGTAGGGACCTAAATTTCGTCTGGTCCCAGGAATTCAGCTAGATAGGGATCAAACCATTCTGAACACCTATAAGTGCAACAGAAGATCGAAGAAAAGAATAGCAGCAACTCTCTGAACAGAAAAGCGACCACTTTCTGGAAGGCAGGATGTGTGGAGAAGTGAATCCAAGGCGATATTTGGGAAGATAGACCGTGGGAGGAGGCCTCCATCAGCCGCTACCGGCAAGTGATAGAGCCATGGAGCACAAAATTGGAAATTTAGAAGACTCCGCTGAGGGAGGTCGCTCCAGTGGCTAAGGGGGGGTGGAACCCTCACTGGGACATTGTGGTCTCAGGACCGTCGGGGTCACAGGAAGACCGGGGGTGCCTGAGTGTGGCACAGCTCCCAGGTATCGGAGCGGGGAAGCTGGCTATACAGATGGAGCCGAGGAGTGGGCTCTCAGCTCGGGGTTGCCATAAACTGTGATCCACGGCACAGTCAGGCCACTGCTCCTCCAGCAGGGACCCAACAAGCGGCAGATCCGGGGAGACTCCCCTTCCTCCCCTGGGAGGAGCAGCACGGGAGCGCACCGCAGGGATCTGCTGGGTTTGGAGACTCCACATGGGGTTGGGTGCCAGAGATAGAAACGCTCGGTCACAGGCCGGGTGAGCACAGAGTGCGGCCGGAGACCGGGGAGATGGGAGTGACTGACTGCTTTTCTCTGGGGGCTCGCTGGGGAGTGGGGCCCCGAGTTCACGGCTCCTCGGGTAGGAGATTGGGAGGCCGCCTTTTTCACTCTCCTCCTCCAAAGCTGTACGGAAAGCTTGCAGGGAACAAAAGCTCCCGAGAGCAAACCCGAGAAGATTACTTAGCCTGGCCCCTGGCAAGGGCGGGGCAATTCCACCTCCCGCAAAGACATTTGGGAACCACGGCAACAGGCCCCTCCCCCAGAAGATCAGCAAGAACAGCCAGCCAAGAACAAGTTTACCAATCAATGAGAACAGCAGAACTCTAGCGCCAGGGGAATACTGCACATAGAATTCATGGCTTTTTCCCCATGATTTTTCAGTCTTTCAAAGTTAATTTTTTTAATTTTCTTTTTTTCTTTTTCTATTTTTTTAAATTTTTCTTTTTCCCTTTTTCAACCAACATCTTA